GTTCGTTTCCCAGTGCCACCAAATGTCTCCAGTGTGTCCTTTGTTGCTTACAACCCCCCAGATGTTCTTATTCTCCACTGATGTCCCCAGGGCACCCCTGTAACTATAGGGCCAGCCTCTTCCCCACATTCCTCCACCCCAGAGGTGCCACATGAGGCCAGTGGTGGGATGCTGGGGTGTTGGAGCACAGGGGTGGGGATCCTGTGCCCACTTTGTGAACACTGTCCCCCTGTTTCAGCACCCTCTACACTGGTGGGACTCTGCTCGTTGCCTTTTCCACACCAGGTGAGACCCACACAGATGTGGGGTGCCCCCACCCTACCCATGTCCCTTGAATCCACTGACACCTGTGTCCCCAGACCTAGCAGTGCTGCTCTTCCCGGCTATGTCAATGCTGTCGGTAGGCGGCATTCTCCTCATCCTCACCAACATGCAGGTGGGAGGCGTCTGAACCCTCACCCCACAGCTCGGGCACCCTGCCTGGTAATGGGGACACTGACAGCATTACGGGGGGGTTTTATGTGCCAGGTGGGGAACCTCTTTGGGAAGTACCGCTCCATCATCATCACCCTCTACAATGGGGCCTTTGACTCCTCGTCTGCCATCTTCCTCATTATCAAGGTGGGCATGGGAGGGGTAACACTGCAGGCACCAGATTTGCCTGTTCACGGCACAGGCACTGGGGTAGGCTGGGGATAGATAGGGGCACAGCTGGGGTCTGACATCTATGGTGGCCCTGGGCAGTGACCAGTGGCCAGCATGGCATGGTGGCAACCTGCACGTGTCCCCAGGTGCTGCATGAGCATGGACTGTCCCTGCGGACCATGTTTTTCTTCATGGCAGCCTGCAGCGCCTGGCACCTGCTGCGCACCATCTTCCTCATGCCCCGCATGCACATCCCCTACCCGCTGCCACCTGCCTACAACTATGGGTAAGGGAGGCCCTGCCTGCGCTCCCAGGATGGCAAAACCCATCCCTTAGGAGGTGGTGGTGCCCATCCTGTTGGTGATGGTCATGGGGTCCATTCCACAGGTGGTGGTGGTGGTCATGGCACCCATCCCATGGGTGGTGGTGGTGGTCATGGCACCCACCTCTTGGGTGGTGGTGGTGATCATGGCATCCATCTCTTGGTGGTGGTGGTTGTCATGGTGCCTATCCTGTGGGTGGTGGTGGTCATGGCACGCATCTCTTGGGTGGTGGTGATGGTGGTCATGGCGCCCATCCCATGGGTTGTGGTGGTCACGGTGCCCATCCTGCGAGTGGAGGTGGTGGTGGCACTGGGATGCTGTGGTGGGTGACAAGGCGAGTGGTGCTGCAGGCTGTCATGCCCGGGGCGCTCCCAGTCATACCGCACCTACGAGGAGAAGCGCCCGCCGGAGGATGATGGGCCGGAGGAAGTGCCCCTGGAGCCCAGTGCCCCAAAAGGTGGGGGAGAACTAGGACTGGGGTGTATTGGCAAAGGCATGGGTGGGCATGGCCATGTGTATGATGGGTGCTGGGAAGTGGGTGTGACCATGTGGGTGGTACAGAGTCATCTGGGGTGTTGGCCTGTGGGCTGGGTGGGGGTACTTGGTACCATGAGACCCAGTGGATGGATGTGTCAACTGTGGTGGGGACATTTGGGGAATAGGTGTGGCCAAGTATTGTGGGTATGGGCAGCCCTGATGGATGCATTTGTTCTGTGTAGGCAATGCAACTGTGGAGTCCTTCTGGCCCTGTGTGCTCTCATGGCTCTTCATGTGGCACGTGGTATGGCTCTCGGTCATGCAGCTGCGCCACTACATCTTCATTGGTACCCTCAACCCATTGCTCGACCACCTTGCCTTTGGCGATAAACACCTGGGTAGGGCATGGTGGCTGGGTGGCATAGTGAGCCAGGCACGGGGCTGGGGATTGCCCCTCTGCACTGACCCTGTCTCTCCACAGTGAGCATCTACACCAACGCCTTTGCCTTCACCCAGCTCTGCGGGGTGCTCTGCGCTCCCTGGAACGGCCTCATTCTCGACTGCCACAAGCGAAACAAGGCCCACCGTGCTGAGGGTAACTGTCCCTATCCCCCCCATCCCTACTCTTGGTGCACTGGAGCTGCAAATGTTCCCAGCCCCGCTCTGCCTGGGACATGCTACTACCATGCTCTGACCCTTCTATGCCTGTAGTTGTGCCCCCATAAAGCTCTGACCCCCCGCTGTGCCAATGGATGTGTCACTACAATGGCTGGATCCCACCATATCCATGAACATGTCCCTACCATGCTTTGTCCCATGAACAGGTCCGCCCAATGTCCACAAAACAGGTCATCCCACTGTGTCCACAAAAGTGTCCCCATGATGCCCCCACCCCACCCTGTCCATGCATGTGACCCTGTTCCCGATCTACCTGGGGACATGTCCCCATTGTGCCCTAATCTTGCCATGCCTGCAGGAGCCCAAGGGGCACTGGCTGACCTACGGGCATCCGTGCCATCACTGGTGTTGACGGTGACGCAGTGCGTGCTCTTCTCCATCTGTGCGGCCGTGCCTATGCTGCCTGTGCAGTTTGTCACATTCGTGCTCCAGGTGATCAGCCGCTCCTTCCTCTACGGGGGCAACGCCGCCTTCCTGGCCATCGCGTGAGTCCTGTGCACCTTGATGCTGGTGGTGGCAGGGGACAGAGTGGTAATGGCAGGAGAGGGAGCAGTGGGGACATTGGTGAATAATGGGGTAGCAATAGTGAGGTCAGGGTGGAGGGGGACAGTACAACGGTGATAGGGGATGGTGGTAAGGGAGGGGGTGGTGGCGTGAGGGTGGAGGTGACATGGTGATGGGCACAGTGGTGACATGCAGGTTGTCCTGGCAGGTTTCCTCCACAGCACTTTGGGAAGCTCTACGGGCTGGCCATGGCCCTGTCGGCGCTGGTGGCCCTGCTGCAGTATCCCTGCATTGCCCTGGTGCGCGGAGTGCTCCAAGGGGACCCTTTCTATGTGAGTGCTCCCCACAGCCTTTGAATACCCCACAGCCCAGGGAGGGCAATTGCATGGTGGAGTGGTGGTCAGGGTCCGTGGATGAGAGGAGGTCCCAGTGCCAGTTTGGATAGGGCTCCTCCCCCGTTTGGGGTTGAAAACACCGGACAATGAGAAGATGGAGTCCATGTTTCATGGCAGGATGGGGCTCATGTTATAGGGGGATGGAGGGCCTGATCTAAGTTTGGGTTGGGGATGCTGGCCTATGTAGAGCAGGAGGTTCTGCCCCATGGTAGCCTGGGGGCACACTGTGCTGGGGAGTGATGCTAGTCTGTGGTACCATGGGGTGTGGTTTGCTGCTCCAGCACAGGCAGCCTTTAGGGGGCTGAGGAGCTGGCTCCTTGTCTGATTGGGATCAGCCCCTGGTCCCATGCCCTCAACACCCATCACTCCACCACAGATGAACGTGGGGCTCATCGCCGTGGTGCTGCTGGCCTACGTCAGCCCTGTGGTGGTGGCCCGCGAATGCCGGCGGCGTGCCAAGGATCTGGAGGCTGCCTCAAGCCCCCTGGAAGCTTCCACAAGTGCCGAGACCCCTGCCCAGACACCCCATTGAGCCCTGCACTACCATCCAGCTTTTTTCTACTGGACTTTGGGGGAGGGATGGGACTGTGCCGGGGGGGCACACTGAGGGGTGGGTGTGCTTGGGATAGAATAAATATTCCAATGCCTCTGCCATGGTGCTGCTCCCACCCGGTGCCCCATACCCTTGGAGCTTCTCCAGTATCTGCTGTGGGATTGAGCCCGATTCTGCGTCCAATCTCCCCCCCGGCCCTAAAACACATGGACATGTGGCCTCAAGGCAGTTCATGGGGCACTTTATTGGGACAGTGACATGGGCCACTGCGGGTCCCTGGACACTGGGGAGCCATGGCAGGGCTTCCGGGCACTGTCAGTACTGACAGAGGAAGGGGTGCAGCAGGAAGCAGGCTCTACTTCTCCAGAGCCCATCTATGGACAGGACCCATTGTCAGGGACACAGGGAGACCCACAAACCCCCTGGCCCCTCTCCCAGTGCCCCATCTCAGTGTCCCATGTCTGGTGACACACTCCCAGCACCCGTCCCCACTCTCAGTGCCCCCACCCATTGCCCCCAGCACCAGATACTGTGTCCTGGTGCAGGGCTGCACTCACCTTTGGGGTTGAACACGGTGCAGGTTCTGAACCATCGGCAGGGCTGCCTGCTGGCCCACTTTGCATAGTTCCAGGGGCTCAGGTCCTCCCAGGATGTCTTCCATGACCCACCCTGTGGCAGTGCGACTCAGCATCCTGTGCCCACCCCTGGCCAAGCCCTGGATGCCGGTTGAGCCCTGTTACCTTGCAACGGGTGACACCCCTGATCCAGAGGTTACAGTAGGTGTAGGTGGCTGCCAGCTTCCTCAGCTGTTTGTTAGTGGCTGTGCTGTGCACCGAGGGCAGCTGTCCCTTGTATATGTCCTGGCAGTAGCTCTGAGGGACACAGGTTGATGCCTGGCACTGACATCCCGCTGACCTCCCCATCCCTCTCACCTGGGCACCCTTGTAGGTGCACAATGCCTTCACCACCATGAAGCACCTCCTGCTGCCCTCCTCTCTGCCTGCAGGTACCTCCAGTGTGCCAGGGGGCTGAGGTAGGGACAGGCTGGAGAGTGTACCCTCTGCCCCCACCACCAGCCCCAGTGCCCTGAGACTGGGGGCTCAGGTGTCCCTGAGCTGTTCCCATTGTGTCCCTAGTGGTCCCCGAGCTACTCACCAGGGCAGAGGCCATGCCCAGTAGGGTCAGGACAAGGAGCAGGCCAGACTGCATGGTGGAGAGCTGTGGGGACATGGCAGGGCTGGAGGACATCTTGCCCCATGGACCTGTGGTCCCTGGGATCACCTCAGGAGAGCCCTTGGCCGGCCCTGATGCTCCTCATGGCACCTGGTCTCCCATGCTACCCCATGTCCTTTGTCTCCTCTGCTGCCCCCAGTACCAGCCCTACCCCTCATCCCCAGCCCTCAGCCCCATCACCCCTGAGTCCCTGACCCCCATCATCCCCGGTGCCACCCATTCCCCATGTCTCTGCTCCCATCCCCAGCCCTCATCCACCCCTATGTCCCTCATGCTCTGCAACCTCTTGCCACTCCTAGGGCCACACCTGGTTCTGTGCCACCCATTCCACCATGTACCTCCCACCACATCCCAGTGCATCACAGAGCTGCATGTGCCAGATTCAGGGTTGTCTTTCCCCTGTTCCAGCCCCACACCCCAACCCAGCAGCACAGCGCCTGTGTCTCCCCTGCCATCCCTGTTCCTGTCCCTGCTCCTCACCTTGGGGCTGGGAGCTTCTGCCTGCCTTGGCCCTTACAGGGGTGCTGGAGCCACATGTCCCCTGCAGCCTTGCACCACCCCAACACCGACCCAAAGCCACCGACTGCCAAAGGGTGGCCTGGAGGTACACAAGGGGGTCAGGGACAGTTAGGCTGCTTGCCTCAAAGCCACTTTCTCCCATGTTCACAGAGCCTTGCAGTGGCCAGTGCCAGCTATTAGCCACAGATGCCATCGCCCTTTAGGGTGGCCCTCAGCCACCTCCTATCATGATCCCTTTCCAATGCTGCCTGTTCCCTGCCACCCCATCCCCAAGCACTGCCATCCTACCCCACAACCCTGCTACTCCTTGGGGCACAGGACCTTCATGGAATGGCCAGGAAAGTGATTGTGCCCCTTTAGAGGTGGGCTTGCCCAACAGCCCAGAGTACCAATTTGCCATTGCAGCAAGGGTGCTGCTGTCTCGTGCCCAAGTTAGGGGGCATGGAGGGTCTGCATTCCCAGGTACAGCAACATCTGGTGCATGTTAGGGACATCTCCCTGTGGGCTCAGGGCATGGCAAGACAGAGAAACAGAGGCACAGGGCTGCCCCAGTGGATGGTGGCATCTGGGGCCAATGGCAGCCATGGGCCCCATAACTGCAGAGGGAGGAAGTGACCTTGGGCAAGTGGCCAAACTGTCCCTGGTTCTCCCACCCCCTCAGTTAGGGGGCCACCCCATGGCAGTTAGGGACTGCAGTGGAGCTGGGGCAGTGCACAGTGATAGGGGACACATGGTTCCAGCATATGTTTGGAGGCAAAGGGAAGATGTTGGGGACTGCAGTGGGATCTTGTGGTGGTAGAGACTGCTTCCCCCATCCAAGGTCACCTCATGGCTCCTGCACCCCTCAGAGTCCCCCACCCATTAACCCCACACACAGAGGGCACAGGCATGGGGCTGCACAGCAAGGCTTTATTGGGGTGAAGGTTCTCTGCATCCCCTCGGCTGGTTCTGAGGTGAACCTGAAGGTACTGCTCCTCTCTGCCACTCCTGTGCTGCCTCCATGGCTCCCAGCTCCTTGTGCCACCCTATGTCCCTCACGTCCCTGCATCCCCACCATCACTCCTGATCCTCACCCCCAGCCCTTGACCCTTCTGTCACCCCTAGGCCCCTGGTGCCCATCCCCACTGCCACCCATTCCTGGTGTCCCCTCAGCCACCCCCTGGTCCTCACCCACCCCCATGCCAACCTCAGCAGCTTGGGGCTCTGTCCCCTCACTGTCCCATCCCTGCTCCTCACCTTGGGGCTGGGGGCTTTGCATGCTGTGGCCTTATAGAAGCACGGGAACATGTTACACTCACCCCCCATACACCCTCCCTGCCCTGTCCAAGTGACAGTGGGTAAGGAGTAGGGCTGGGGGGCTCTGGAGAGGAGAGATCATGGGGCCAAATGCAGACAGGGGCTGCCCCATGGCACCCGGAGCTAGAGGCCCAGGGAGAAGGTGCCCGAGTCAGTGGACTGCTTCTCTCGGCTCTGGTCCCCCAGGGCTCCTGGCACACAGCCTGTGGGGCTGGCAGGGGCTGGGGGCACACTGGCCTCTGGCACCTGTGGGATAGGGGGATGGACATAGGATCACTCCCTGTCCCACAACCATGGCACCCAGAGTGCTTAGGGGCTCTGGGATTGCCCCTCCATGGGGTACCCAGCAGCCAACTGACCTCCTCAAACTTGCGGGCCTTGTAGTGCTCGGCGCCCTTCAGGAAGTTGAGCAGGATGATATCGCACAGCACCGTGCCCTAGGGGGCAGCAGTAATGGGGAAGTGCCCCCTGACACCCCACAGATCTCCAGGAATTAGGCTGCCATCACCTTTCCCATCACCCTGCTTTGTGGCGGTGGGATTTCCCTCCATTCTCCTTCCCACCGCTTTTGGACATCACCATGGCCCTCAGCCCTATGGCTGTGGGTTACCTGCTTGCCCCAGGGCTGAGGACTGCCTCAACTCACCACGCCGATGGAGGTGAAGGCAGCTACTGTGTTGATGAGGGTGGGCACAATGCCGAATTTCCCAGCCTGTGGAAAGGCAGAGGGCTGAGTCAGCATGGCCTTCACCTATGGCATCCATAGGTTCCTGGGATGCCATGCCCATACGTACGTTGCCATACACCAACACGTCAAAGCGGATGCCGAAGGCCTTGGTGAGGGTGCGCAGCTCGGTGCCGTTGTGCCCACGATAGTACCGTGCGTGCCTGCATGGGACATGGGCACCTGGCACCCCATGCTCTGCAGCTGTCCCCACGGCAGGCAGCGACACGTGGCCCTACCTGAAGTTGTAGCCAGGGGATCCAGGGCTGTGCCGGGTGACACTGTCCAGGCGGGTGAAGGAGTAGCGGGGCAGGCACAGCTCCCAGGCGCGGTCCAGGTCGCACACCCAGCCGATCTTGATGCCCAGCACCCCGCCCTGCCCAGCCGGCCGTGAGGGCAATGCACCCCGTGTCACATGGCCCCATGTCCCTCCATACATGTCCCACATCCCCGTGTCCTTGCAATACCGTTTTCCCATGTCCTACATCCCTGCATCCCCATGTCCCACATTGCCACGTCCTCACATCTCAAGCCCCTGTGTTCCCACATCTCAATGTCCCCATGTCCCCCATTCCCACATTCATGAACACCACATCCCAGGTCTCCCTGGCCCTAAAACTCAAGTCACTACATCCCCTACCCTGCTGTCCTCACATCCCCTGTCCCTGTGTCCCGCATCCCCTTGTTCTCATGCCCCGCATTCCACATCCTTTGTGTCCCCAGCTCACGGTGGCAGCCAGCGAGGCGAAGTCCTGCCCAGCGAAGCGTGCCACGTCGCCCAGCCGCAGGATGGGGCACAGCGGCTGCTGCTCGGGATGGAAGCGGCAGCGCTGCAGCTCTCCTGCACTGACCTGAGGGGGCAGGTTGGCCCTGGGGGGGCACACGGCTGTGAGCCTCCAGCAGTGAGAATCCACCCTGTGTCCCCGCAGTGCCACTCACTTCTCAAAGCCAAACAGTGGGAAGCGGACGCTGTTTTTGATGAAGAGGGTGAAGTTTTCAGCCTCCAGCATCACGGGGCTGTGGGGAGAGAGGTGGTGGTCCTGAATGGGGCAGGGGGCACAGTGTTTTTCCCCCCTACTGCTGCTGTACACTCACACATCGACGGTGTCCACCTCGGGTGGGCACCAGCCCCGGATCTCACAGGTACGCAGGGTCACGTTGTAGGGGACGCAGCGTCCCGTCAGCACCCCTGTGGCCACAATGCGGGTGGGCTCAAACTCCATGGTTTTTGGGACCCCCATCCCCCTTCAAAACTCACCACTGCCTGTAGTGCGGCCCTTTCCCTGACAGTCATGGTTGGATGCACACCGGTATGTGGCTTCACTCTGCAGAGAGGGGGGTCTGTGGGTCAGGGCACACCGGTGCTCCCCATGCCACCCCCTGTGTCCCCATACCTCCGGGCAGATTCCCTGCTCCTGATTCTCCGTCAGGATCTGCTTGGTGACCACCACGAACACCGAGGTACCCTGCGGTGACGGGGACACTATGTCACCACCACACCCGCACCCCCAATCCCGTGCTACTTGGGGATTATTGGGGTTGAGATGAGTCTAGAAGGGCTCGGGGTGGGTTCCCACTGTCTCTTGCCTGTGGGGGGGTGATGTAGTCAGCTGTGTCCAGGACGCGGTTGCCATACTTCCCGATGCCCTTCACTTTGGTCACCACCGAGGACTCGATGACAGTGTCCCGCACCTGGTAGGCCTTCTCATGCAGGAACACCCAGCTGGGGAGTGGAGGGATCAGCTGTGGGGACAGCCGGCCGGCTCCCTGCCACCTGCAGCCAGTCCTCCTGCCACCAGTCCTCTGACAGCCACTTGCCACCCGTCTGTGTCACCCCCTGGGGTTCAGTATGCTCCTCAGCACCCATCCCTACCTCTCCTCTCCATCACTCATGCCAACAACCATCCTCCCATCGCCGGCCCCTTGTGTCAACTCGATGTTCCCATAACAGACACGCTGCCAGCCACTTGCTGCCACCTGTCCCCCTCTGCCCATAGCTGTCATCACTTCTTGCAGCCCGGTTCCCACCCCCACACCAGCAGGCAGCTGCCATTCCCATGACACCCTCCTGACCCCACATCATGCACCCACCCAGTGTCCCCTCTTGGTGTCATCCTCCCGGTCCCCAGCTTGTCACCATGGCATCGGGAATACGATGTACATTGGGAGCATGGTCTGCCGAGGGGTGGGGAACACCAGCAGAGGAGTGGGGTCCCGTTGGGGGGTCTCTCACCCGATGAAGTAGGAGAGGATGAGGAGCTGCACGACCCGGTTGACGACGCCCACCACCCAGCTCTTCACCACCACCGACTTGGTGGTCTCGTAGGAGAAGAAATCGGCCAGGCAGCGGGGCTGGGGGCGCGGGGGGGGCATGGGCAGCCGGACGGGGGCACGAGCAGGGGCTCTGCAAGGATACAGGCAGGGATACAGGCAGTGGGAAGGGATAGAGGCAGGGAGCAGGGCAGGGATACAGGCGATGGGCAGAGATGCGGGCAGATAGAGGCAGGGATGCGGGGATGTGGGCAGGGATGCGGGCGGGGTGGTGCAGAGGCAGAGGGGTGGGCACAGGACGGAGGGAGGGGGAGGGGGTGCAGGGGGAGATGGGGGGAGGGGGCATGGCTGGAAGGGGGAGGGACGGGAGGAAGACGTGGGTGGGGGGAGGGGTGCGAGAGGCGACCTCGAGGAGGGCCCCCGAGCGGCGATCCTACATGGGGTAGCCCCTCTCTGGGGTGCCCTGGGGGGTGCTTTGGGCCCTCGGCACTTGGGGTGCTTCCATTTCGGAAGCGGGCCGCGCTGGGGGCGCAGTATGTGTGATTCTCGTTTTTAGGGGTGCCCCACACTCGGGGTGCTCCCATTCTGGGCGTCCTCTGTGCTTGCGGACCCCGTGTTTGCCACCTCACAGTGTTTGGAGGTGTCCCGTATCGGTGTGCCCCTTTTTGAGGGCTTCCCCTTTACGAGGGGTGTCCCATTTTGGGATGTGCCCCACTTCGGAGTGCCTTTTTTGGGGCGTACCCCACGTCGGGGCGCCATGTGCTGGGCAGAGCCGCCCTAACCCCCCGCCGCGGTGACGTCATGGGGATCACCCGGCGTCGGCCAATGGGGAGCAGCCCCCCCACTTCCCGGCTGGAGGCCTCCCGCCTCTCTGTGGTGCCAGGTGAGAGAGACCGCCGCTTCGGGGAGCGGCCGCTCTAGCCTGCCCCCCTTCCACTCCGCTGCCCCTATGCCGAGGAAGGCGCCGCTCTCCTTTAGCTTCGGTCCTCCACGGCGCTCCATCGTGAGGCCCGTGCCGATGCGGCCGGGTCCCCCCTCCCCCCGCGATGGCTCCCAGAGAGGCCGGGCGGCGGCGCTTCTCTATGGCGGAAGTGGGGGCGGGTTCCGGCGGCGGCGCGGGAGGCGGTTGGGGGGGGGGAGGCGGCTTCGCGCGAGGTTCGTGTTGCGCAGGCGGGAAAAGCGGTGGCGGTGCGGGGGGGGGGGCGGGAGCGAATTTGGGGGGCTGGGGAGGGGACAGAGGAAGGGTGGTTTTGGGGGGCTGATTTTGGGGGGGGTGATGTGGGGATTGGGGGTGGCTGGTGGAAGCGTGGGGATGACGGATGGGGGCGTGGGGCCTAGGGAGAGGGGTGGTGGGGGCTGTGGGGGGCTGCCAGGGCCTCCTTGTACCCCTTCCCCCCGGGACGTGGCACCCCGGGAAGCGGCGACCCCGGGGAGCCCCGGGAGAGGCGTGATGGGGGGACGTGTTCCTGTGGGATCACGTTCCTCAGGGATCACAACGCGGGGGTTCACCTCCCCGTGCTCACTCTCGTTCCCCCTCCTCCCCCCCCCCAGCACCTCGCTGCTCGGTGGCAGCAGGGCATGCCGGCCTCGGCGGGGAGCTGAACTCCGGCCTCCTCCTGCCTGCTTACGAGCCCGGCCCCCTTCGTCATGGCTGACACACTGGAGTTCAACGAGATCTACCAGGAGGTGAAGGGATCCATGGTGAGAGGCTCCAGGGGCAGCTCAGTGCTGGGGGCAGCTATCTGGGGTGCTGCCTGATGCCAGAAGTGCTCACCCCATCTCATGGGCTGGAGGCACATGGTGCTGTGTGGCTCTGAGGCCTGGTCTCAGCTGTATGCACAGGGGTGCAGTATGCCCCCCCATCTCTGCAGCTCTTCCACTGCCTCGTCCTGGCAGAGCGTGTTTTGCTGAGCTCAACTGGAAATGGGAGCTGAGGCGCCTTGTTTCCAGAGCTGAAGCATTTTGGAGCATCAACAGGGGCTTTTAGTAGCAGCCTGTTGCGGAGCTAGCGAGGTTGTGGTTGGGAATGTGTCCAGGGGAAGGAATGCCAGCTGCAAGCGTTCACCCTTTTATGCAGTAGCTACTGCTGGGCAGCTGGGTGCTGTAAATCAGCCTGTTCCGGTGCTTGGGGGTGGGCAGTGTCATGCTGCAGTGATGTTGAGGATTTCTGGGTCACCCTGTGGTATTTGGGAGATTGTTCCTAAATGCCCGATGGAGCTCTGGTACCGAGGCTGCTGGCAACCTGGCTGCCTGAATCCCAAAGGAGGGTGGTAAGGAGTGCATAGAGAACAGAAACTGTTGGGTGGTTGGGGAGTTCACTTCGTGTCCCCTGGGAGAGCTTAGCAGCTGTCTGTGCTGTGTGGAAGTTCCTCCCCCTTGGGCTGCTCCCCTCCATGTGCGTGGGGTGAGATGCCTGTACCTCACACCCACCTCCCCTCAGAACGATGGCCGGCTGCGGCTAAGCCGCCAGGGTGTCATCTTCAAGAACAGCAAGACGGGGAAGGTGGACAACATCCAGGCCTCAGAGTTGGCAGAGGGTGTGTGGCGGCGTGTGGCACTCGGTCACGGCCTCAAGCTTCTCACCAAGAACGGCCATGTCTACAAATACGATGGTTTCCGGGAATCGGTGAGTCTGTGCTGTCTCTGACTGTTGCCTGAGCCATGTTGACCATCCTTTTTTCAGCTAGCTTGTGCTACAGTCTCTTTGCTTGCCCTGTATCAAGCCATGCTGCCTGCAGGATCTGCAGATCTCACGAAGCTGATCTCCTTGCCTTTAACAGCAGTTGATGTTTGTTTTTCTCATCACGTACTGCGGGCAATGTCCCAATTACGGGCTCTGGGCCATGCTGATGTGTATATGGCAGTTTCTGATGAGCATTCTCTGTTTTTCTGTTCCTTCCCACCTCATCACAGGAGTTTGATAAGCTCTCAGATTTCTTCAAGGCACACTATCGTCTGGAGCTGGCTGAGAAGGACCTGTGTGTGAAGGGTTGGAACTGGGGCACAGTGAGGTTCGGAGGTGAGTTGTGGTAAGATAGGAACAGGACAGTGGTGCTGCTGCTTGGGCAAGGGAATCTGTGCTGTGTGTAGGCCAAGGTGGTGGGGCTGGGTGGGAATCTGATGGCTGGGTCAGTGTCGTTATCCCACCAGCACCCAGCTGTTGACAGCTTTAGATGCTCCATTGGGAAACCCATTTTTAGTGGTGGTTTTGGGTAAAACATGGATGTTGGTCATCCTAGGAAAGCAGCAGATACTTGCAGGCAATACAGCATGTTCAGGGGGGTAGGCAGAAAATGCTTAACATGAAAGAGAAGTCTGCATGGGAGCTATGAGCATCTAATAGAGCCTTCCAATTCCTCAGGGAGCCAGAAGAGCTGGTGGATGCTCCTCCCAGGTCTGAGAGAGGAGGAAGAGCGGAATAAACAGCCTTTTTGTTTTTGATCAGTGTAATTCTCTGGAACTGTAGCTGAGAGGAGAAAGCCTAGAGATTTGTGTGGAGAATATGGGAAGGGAGGGGAGGGGAGGCATTTCTGGGTTTTGAGAAAAGAGTGATGATGCTGCTGGAGCTTAGATCTAAGATGGAACTCACCTTGGGTCTGTGCAGCAGGGTGGACCTTAGGTTCTTATCCCTCCCCGCCTCCTGTAGGGCAGCTTCTCTCCTTTGACATCGGGGAGCAGCCGGTGTTCGAGATCCCCCTCAGCAATGTGTCTCAGTGCACGACGGGCAAGAACGAAGTGACACTGGAGTTCCACCAGAATGATGACGCTGAGGTCTCACTCATGGAAGTTCGCTTCTACGTACCCCCTACCCAGGAGGATGGTGTTGACCCTGTGGAGGTGAGTGAGGCACAGTGAGGCACAGTAGTTGGGTGCCCTCACCTAGTGACTGACCACAACTCCCTCTCCTTGTAGGCCTTTGCTCAGAATGTCCTCTCCAAGGCGGACGTGATCCAGGCAACTGGTGATGCCATCTGCATCTTCCGGGAGCTGCAGTGTTTGACGCCTCGTGGGCGATATGACATCCGCATCTACCCCACCTTCCTGCACCTCCATGGCAAAACCTTTGACTACAAAATCCCCTATACTACCGTGCTGCGCCTCTTCCTGCTCCCACACAAGGACCAACGGCAGATGTTCTTTGTGGTGAGGAGGGGTTGAGTGGTCCTCCCTTTCTCAAGAAATTGTTTTGAGGGATTTGGGGTCCTCACCTCCTCTTCCTTTTCAGATTAGCCTGGATCCCCCGATAAAGCAGGGCCAGACCCGCTACCACTTCCTTATCCTGCTTTTCTCCAAGGATGAAGACATCTCACTAACGCTCAACATGAATGAGTGAGTTGTTCTCTCCAGGCAACTTCCTTGACCCCCTCCCTGGACCTGGGGGTTGTGGGGAGAGCTACTGCAGGTAATGAATCTCCTTGGTCCTTGTTCTTGTCGTTATCCTCTATTTCTGCTACACAGGGAAGAGGTGGAGAAACGCTTCGAGGGGCGGCTCACCAAGAACATGTCAGGCTCCCTCTATGAGATGGTCAGCCGAGTTATGAAGGCACTGGTGAACCGCAAGATCACTGTGCCTGGCAACTTCCAGGGGTGAGGCATGCTGTTGCTTCTGGCTGGGTGAGGGAATATGGGACCTTCCTACACTAAGGGTGCGCATGGAGGTAGGGAGAGAGGTAAAGAGGGCTTTGTTGTCCCTAGGACAGGAGATTTTTCTTGTTTTTGTGGTCAGCTGCTTGAGATCCCCTCCTGACTCAGACAGCAGGACCAACATCTCTTTTTCTGTTGTCAGGGTGAAGGGGTTTTGCAAGAATTTTACCCCATGCAAGCGGGAGCAATTGGTGGACTTATTTAAGCTGCTGTCTCACTGGGGATTTGCAGAGGGAGGGCTGTTTGCTCCCCACTGGTGTAACATGGCAGTGTTTGCCCTCACAGACACTCTGGAGCCCAGTGCATCACCTGCTCCTACAAGGCCAGCTCAGGACTTCTCTACCCACTGGAGCGTGGTTTCATCTATGTTCACAAGCCGCCAGTGCACATCCGCTTTGATGAGATCTCCTTCGTCAACTTTGCCCGTGGGACCACCACCACCCGCTCCTTCGACTTTGAGATCGAGACCAAGCAGGGCACACAGTACACCTTCAGCAGCATAGAGAGGTGGGCACAGAGTGAGCTCTTATTGTAACACTGGGCTATACTCTGTCCTGCCATGCAGCCCCGTTGCCCCTGTGTCCTCCATGTTGGTCACACTGGATCCTTACTGATGTAACACGGTGATTGTTCTGCTCACTGTGT